TCTCTCTCTCTGTGTCAAATAAATAAATAAAATCTAAAAAAATAAAAATAAAGATAAAGAAATAAAACAAGGATGTGGATAAAGTGGCAAATATTAAAAATAATGATAACACACAATGCTGGGATGGATACAGTGAAATAGACACTCTTCTATGCTGCTGGTGGGAGTTACCCATCGGTGTAAGTTTTCTGGAAGGGAATTTGGCATGGAATATCACAAAAACTTAAAAATGTGTATTCCCTTTTACCTAATGATTCTACTTTTGGGCATTTACCTTAAGGGAATAATAGCTGTGTGCACATATGTTTATCTTTAAGAATGTTAATTAAAAAGGACCTGAGTTCCAACATCAGAGAAATGGTTGCATAAATTATAGACCACCCAGATAAGGAAATACCAGACAGTCATTACAAATTATGTTGAAGGTGAATACTAAGTTAGAAAACATTTAAAGGGGTGCCTGGCTGGCTCAGTTAGTGGAGCATGAGACTCTTGACCTTAGGGTCATGAGTTTGAGCCCCATGTTGGGTGTAGAGATTACTTAAAAAATAAAAGATAATAAAAACAGGGGCACCTGGGTGGCTCAGTCGGTTGAGCAGCTGAGTGTTGATTTTGGCTCAGGTCATGATCTCAGGGTTGTGGATTGAGCCCCCTGTGGGGCTCTGCAGTCAGTGCAGTCTACTTGTCCCTCTCCCTCTGCTCCTTCCCCCGCTAGCGTGCACACACTCTCTCTCTCAAGTAAATAAATAAAATCTTAAAAAAATAAAAAATTAAAATAATTAAAATTAAAAATCTTAAATAATTTTTTAAAGAAAGAAAAAAGAAAACATTTATAATATATTATGTAAAAGGGGAAAAATTTGTAAAACAGTATGTAGCGTGTGATCCCAGTTTTATTTAAAAGTTACAGGTATTTTAGGAAATTGATTAAAGGAAAATATATCAAAATAGTAACATGACTATATCAGGGTGATTTTTATTTTATTCTTTCTTTATGTATACTTTGTTTCAGATGTCTTACAATGGACATAAATTGTTTTTCTAATCAGGAAAAATAATCCTAATTTAAAATATCAGACATAGGTGTTGGCCAGAAGGCTGTGTAGTAGTATGGTGTGACCTGAGGCTCTACCCACCCTAGGAATCGCCCTGCTGACCAAAATAACATGTTGGGGAGTATTTTCTTGGTGTTGCTAAGAGTGTTGTGGGCAGGGAGAGGCCGAGCAGCAAGGAGGGCAGCTGAAAGGCTCCTGTCCTTGTCTAGGTGTGAAGGCAAGGGCCTCATCCATGGGCAGATGGGAAGTCAGTGTCCTTTTCCAGCTTCCTGCTCTTCCCTGTCCTGGATCTAGTTCTGAGGAGAAGACTCCAAAAGATCAAGCCAGGGTTGTATGCTAGCCCCAAGTCCATTGTTCTCTTGGCCCCTGTCCTAGGTTAGGGTTAAGGCAAACTTGAGCTTAAGAAGGTAGAAGGAAAAGGGCTAGCTAGAACACTGTCTGCTTTTTTAGAGTATTCCCAGCCCTGTTGGAAAGTTGGAGACACTCTTTGTGCCCAGAGGTGACTGCAGCAACAAGAATGTTTTTCTGGCTTGACTTTGCACCAAGTAGCCTTTCTTATACCAGGCGCTTGGCCTCTATCTGCTCTTCTGGTTGGGTTCTAAGCCCACTTGATCCCTTTCTTCCTTCATTTTCCCTGGCTGGAGTGGCATCCCCGATTGGAATGGTTCCCTCCTTCCATATAAGCAGAACAAATCTTTGGATTCTTCCTGGGGCAGATATGACCCCAGAAATGACTCCCCTACAAGGCTGCCTTGCTGGATCAGCCAGCACAGAGCAGCCCGAATATGTGAACTCAGGAACTGAGACAGTCCTCTGAACCACAGCATACCTGGGAAGCAGGTGTGCAAAGAGTAAGATTGGCACCTTTAGGGTTCAGCTAGGTGTTCCCTGGGCACACAGGAGCATGTCACATTTCCTCTGTTTCCCACTGGGGGGAATTTCTCTATGCTTTTTCTCCCTCTTAAACCTTGTTTGAGAAGCCTGAGTGGACAGAGGGTCCACTCTATGTGAGGGCTGGAAGAAGAGTTCTTTGTGTGCTAGGAATTTTGGGGGAAGCCTGGATGGCCACCCTGGCCCCATGCCATAAAATGGTTTATTGGCTATATACTACAGATTTTTCTTTTAAAGATTTTATTTATTTTGACAGAGAGAGAGCACAAGCAGGGGGAGTGGCAGGCAGAGGGAGAGGGAGAAGCAGGCTCCCCGCTGAGCAGGGAGCCCGATGTGGGACTCAATCCCAGTACCCTGAGATCATGGCCTGAGCCGAAGGCAGCCACTTAACTGACTGAGCCGGTCAGGCGCCCCGTGCCTGGTTCTTTTAAAGGAGTCAGAGTGAAATGGGTAACAAGATACCAAGAGCATTGTTTTGTCCTATTAATTTGGACCCTCTATAGACTATCATTGGTTTGGATTTGCAGTTCTCCAACACCTTCTTAGACCTAGTTTCTTGGATGGTGATTCCTTCTGGGCTTTGTTGTTTTCCTACCTGTAGGAAGAAACCTGCAATCACATTAGACCTGGGTTTAACAGGGAGCCTGGAGTGGGCCATTTATGAAGTGCTCACAGATGTCAGGTTCTAGAGGAAGAAACACCCATTCAGTTTCAGAAAAGATTCCTTTTGTCCTGGAAAAAACCTCTTAAAGGGCCCTGTTAGTGAAGATATTGGACAAGTATTCATTCACACACTGTTTGGGAAACTATTTTAGGCTTCAGGAAAGACTTGGGGCCTGGATGCTTGATTCATTTCCCATGCATGCAGACCGCTTCCATCTCCAGTCCCAGTCCCCCAGGGAGAAAGAAGAAAGAAAAAAAAAATCAAATAATCAATTCTCTTTTTGCTCCTTACCATTCCTTTTGATTTTAAATTTTGAAGTTTTCCAACAGTAGTTACTGAATTTAGAGAAACGACATGGTTTTATTTGTCTAGGTACCATCACTGATGCTTTAATATCTGATAAAGTCTGCTAAAAATCAGTTTAATGAGAACATTTTTTCTATTTAAGGCAAACATAATTTTCAAGATTTCCTTAACACATTTTTTTTCATTTTAGTGGATGTTAAATAATCTTTTATCACGAAGGATTATAAAAATTATATTTTTATTAAAGTATTTTAAAAGGTCGAAAAGAACTAAAAGCCTATTAACAGAAGAGTCACTAACCCATCCCTCTTCTCTCTTCTCACTGTCCCCAGTCCCCCTTACCAGAAGCAATTCTTTTTGACTCTTTTGACTGTTTCTTCTGACATTGGCAATCTTATCAGTGTTTGTTAGTATCTGATTTTTTTATGATAGCCACCCTAGGGGGTATAAAGGGATATCTCATTGTGGTTTCAATTTGCATTTCCCTGTGATTAATGATATTGAGTGTATTTTGGCCATTTGTATATCTTCTTCGGAGAAATGTCTGTTCAGATCTTTTGCCCATTTAAAAAAATAGGTTATTTTTTTATTATTGAGTTGCAGGAGTTCTTTATATATAGACATAGTATATAGACACATGACCCATATCAGATGTAGGGTTTGCAAAAATTTTCTCTTTTGTGTGTTGTCTTTTCACTTTCTTGCTGGTGTCCTTTGAAGCACAAAAGCGCTTCATTTTGGTGACGTCCCTTCCTTATTTTTAACTGTGGGCAAAACAGGCAGAAATGACGAGGGGCAGGAATAGCCAAGTTCAAACTGTCTCCATTCCGCAACAACGGATGGGCTTGCAGGCAGCAGTGCTCCATGATTAAGAAAACCCCAGGATGACTCCAGGCAACTGGGAGAGCATAGATGAGGTCCGTATGAACAGCAGGTTGGCGCTGCTCTGCAGATAGTGATCCTCAATGCCCAGGACGCTGTGGGCATGGGATGGGAGAGCCTCCCAGCATGGCAGTGCAGCCTCTCTGGGGGCTAGTGAGAGAGCCACAAACTGGCTGTTGGGGAGGATGTACTTTGCCCTGCATCTGTTTGAATCCGTGATACGTTGTCGAATTTATCATGCCTGGATTTGTGTGGAGTCACGGGGGGGGGGCGGGGGGATTAGCTTTGAAGTTGTGTCAGATAGGCCCTCAATGAGCTGATGTGAGGTGTGAGGAGGACCTTGCTGGGAAGAGAGACTGAGTCTTTCTTGCCATCGGTCTTCTCAGGTGCCCATCACCTGGAGAGGGAGAGCTCTCCTTGTACTTAGAAATTCAGTAGCAGGAATCCCAGGCTAGCTCCCCTGTCAGCCCTGAGGGAACTGTAGAATTCTGATTGGCACCTTCCAGAAGCCTGCTGTCTTAGAACCGAAAGCAGCTTTTGCTGACATCTGGTCCTTCTGGGACGCTGATATTTTTATTTATACAGTGACACTCTCATCCCCAAATAGATTCTTATTTTTAACAGGCTTGCTCCCTTTGAGGGATGCCTGAGGCTCCCAACTTCGCTCGCTGGCATCTCAATGTAAACCCTGCAAAGACAGGAAGGTCCATGGCTTGTGCCCGAGCAAAGAAGGAGGAACACTCACCAGCCAGGAAGTCCAACAGCTGTCTTTACATCCGGAGTCCGAGTTCTGCATTAATCTAGCCTTCCTTATCAAGCTCAGTCGCAAGGGAAAAACTTCCAATGAGCCGTAATTACCGCCCCTCATAAGATAAGAAATGGTGCCTGAGGATACCCTGATTCCCTCCTCCACTCCCCCCCCACCAGTCTGCTGCCCATTCTCTCAGCGGGTCCCCCTTGCTTCTTGTCTTTCAGCTACCCAACATGTTCGGCGACCTTCGGTCCACGTTTATTGCCTTGATGATTGGATCCTATGCCTCCTCAGCAGTCACCTTCCCGGGAATCAAGGTGAGGGTGTGGCCACCTCACCCTCTTGTCCTAGTGTCTGAGCAGAGGCCCCTCCCAAGGCTCCTTCAACCTTCTCTGAAGAGGGAAGTAACTGTGGGAGCTGGGGTTGACCCCGCCCCACCACCCACACCTGGGAGGATGCACCTGGGCACCACAGGAGTAAGAAAAGAAACCCACTGGGCTGTGGGGGAGGGAAAACTCAAGCATATCGTACAGGGTGTTACCGCAGGCCGCCTTTACATTTCTGCTGTTTCTGCACTGGGGTAGAGAAAAGGGATGGCTGAGTTAGTCTGTCACTGGTCACCCCACCCCCTGGTCTGTTGTTGCTGGGCTGTTACTGTCCATTGGCCAGAACACGGCTCTTGGCTAAGTTGGTTCAGCTGTTTCCCTCGCAGGCAGGATTCGGAGCCTGTGGAAGTCACGCAGGGTCAGGAGGAAGCAAACACCTCACAGTCCACCGGTTCCTAGTCCCCAGTCCAAGTACTGTTGTTCCTGCCATGCTTCAGAAGCAGCTTTTCCCACCTCTGGCCTCAACACAAGTCGAATCCCATTTCCTGCGGTACCTAGCAGGGAGGCCATAGATGAGAAGGAGTCCTAGATGTGGGCTGGCCACCGGGGAATCGAGGCGCTGGACGGTGTGGGGCCAGCCATCCTGTGGACTTCTACGGGTTCTCACGCTTCTGGAGTGTGCAAAAGCCCACAAGTTCCTCCTCTACCTCTTCTTGCTGTCTCACTGCTGGTCCCCTTCCCTCCCCCACCCCAGGGGTGGGGGCTGGGCAGCTGTCCGCCAGGATACTGGGGACTCCTGCGTTGGAAATAAATGGTGGCAGTGACAACAGCTAACAGCTAACATGCTCGTGTTCAGGAGGCTTCCCACCTGCCAGGCCCCATACTGAGCACTCTGAGGATCCCAATGCTTAGCCCTCACCAAAGCCCCATGAGGGTGCATGCCAGAGGAGCAAAGGGAGACATCTGTCGGTTCATTCCTTGAGTATTTTTTGGCACCTACCACGTGCACTCTTCAAGGCGCCTCAGCGGACAAGGCTAGCGGGTTCCTGTTCTCAGGGGGCTAGACTAGTAAGGGACAAGGAAAGTAATCAAGAAGTCCATAATCTCAGCCAGGGCTGTTCCCTGGGAACTAGTGATGTGACAGTGCCGAGGGGCAGTCAGGGAAGGCCTCTCCAAGGAGGTGACATTTGGCCCAGGTTGGAGGCACAGGGGGTTTAATGACGTGCCAAGGCAAGCTGGGATGATTGGGATGCAGGGTATCTGATGAGCAGACAGCCGGGCAGGGCTGAGCCTCCTCACACAGCTCCTCGCAGGGAGAGCAGGGCTGCCAGATGCCCCCTGCCCACCTGCCTTGGCTGCCCTCTGCTAACCTGCCCCTTGGCCCTGCGCCGACCCTGCTGTCCCTCTCAGGTCATCTACGACTTTGGTGTCTCCTTCATCATCATCCTCGTGGTCTGGGCCAGCTGCTCTGGATTGGTTTTCCTCAACTGCTTCTTTAACTGGCCCCTGGAGCCTTTCCCGGGGCCGGAGGACATGGACTACTCGTAAGTGGACGCGGCGTCTGCCCCTACCCCCACCCTGGCCAGGGTCCCGGGCAGCACCAATGGACACTCTCCTGTGGCCTCCAGGGTGAAGATCAAGTTCAGCTGGCTGGGCTTTGACCACAAGATCACAGGGAAGCAGTTCTACAAGCAGGTGACCACGGTGGGGCGCCGCCTCAGCGTGGGCAGCTCCATGAGGAGCACCAAGGAGCAGGCGGCCCTGCAGGAGGGCCATAAGCTGTGCCTGTCCACCATTGACCTGGAGGTGAAGTGCAAGCCAGACGCTGCAGGTACCCACCTCACGGCCCTCACCTTCGAGGCCTGCCTAGGATGTTGGCAGGGGGGTCTGCGCCCCTACCCACACGTCAGCGATGGGGAGGAGGCAGCCAATCCTACCTGGAAGCCCCAGCCCCCTTCACTGGGGCCAGCAGCAACCGAGGGCTTTGTGGGTGCTGTCCCACGCAATTGCCACTTCATCCCCAGAGGGCAGGTGGCACCCCGCACCCTGGTTTACAGATGAGCACACTAAGGCCCCGAATGGGTAAGGAACTCATCCAACTCACCTCACACACCTGGGTGACCCAAGTCCAGCACCCACACATTTAACCTCACCCAGGCCCATCCCTGCATCCAGCACAGGGTGATTTGGGCAGCAAACCAGGCCTCCTCTTATGGTCCACCCAGCCCATGGATGGTGGGTGGGCTGTGGGCCACGGGGGTGCAGGCCTCGGTTCTCCTGAGCGCCCTCGCTCTCCTCCCCGCAGCGGCCCCCTCCTTCATGCACAGCGTGTTCAGCCCCATCCTGCTGCTCAGCCTCCTCACCATGTGCATCACGCAGCTGCGGCTCATCTTCTACATGGGCGCCATGAACAACATCCTCAAGTTCCTGGTCAATGGCGACCAGGACGTAGGTAGGTGGCCCCTGGACCTCAGTGCACATCCCCACAAGAGGGCACCCCGCAAGTGGTGGTCACTCCTGCCTGCCTGAGGTGAAGCCCCCTGCCTGGAAGGTGTTAGGCTGGGTTGGACCGGAAATAGCAGGCCCCAACTGTTCTCTCCTGTGGCCATTAGAATGTCCCAGTTTGGGCAGGGAGCAGGGAGGGAGACTGAAATAAGGACATGTTTTCAGGGTGTGGGGCGTGGGACCGTTGACTTGCGTGTTTGTAAATGAAAACACTGTGCAGAACGGAGTACTCCACCTGAGAGCCTGTTGAAAGACAGGCCCACCCAAAGCCAAGCATCTCCCCGCCCCTGGAAACCGCAGGCTTGGTTCTCGGGGAGGCTGTGTGCTGAGTATCTGCAGGATACTTTGGGGCAGTCTTCGGCTCTGGGATCTGCACCCTGAACTGGGAGGGCGAGGCAGAGGCTTCCTTGTGTGTGTGATCCAGTTGAGGCTTGTTAAATTTGGTAAACAGAACTGATAACGCACATGCCACTTTTCTAAAACAGCACACAAGGTCTTCAGCTGATTAGAGGTTTTGATTCTACAAAGAAAATCAGTACTTCCTCAGGGCCTGAGCTGAGTCAGCTTTAGTCATCCCTAAGCGGGACAAACACAGTCGGTAAATCCTTTTTATTGGCAGCCCCGTTGGTGTGCAACTGTTTGTTGGTTTAATTGTTTTTCCCTAGGGGAAGTTACACTGGGCATCGCAAGGAGTCAAGTATAGTTTTTAAAGGGGATGAGAAATCGAGCTTGAACAAAAGGGAAAGATGACAAAGGGCCCCAGACAGCACTGGTCCACTGTGAAAGTGGGCGTCCCGTGGCAAAGCAAAGTGGAGAAGCACGGGCTGTTACGTGCCTTTGCAAAATTTCGTGATGACCCCTGACACGGTGAAGGCCCCAAGACAGCCCTAGAGGAAAAACTCACCTCTTTAGCTTTGTGTTGTCCAGTGATGTTGCCCCAGATTTCTACCACAGAACATTTCTATTGTGTAACACTCCTTAAACGTTGTGGACCGCACTTTGGGGAAAGCTGATCTATCATGTCTAAACACCCTCTGTTACAAGCTCAGGCCTGGTGACGTGAAGCCCCTGGAGTGTCCAGGGAAGGGGCCTGCACCGGCTCTTGGAAGGCAGATCTCCCTGTCGCTGAGTCGTGGGCCTTTACTCCAGTTCTCTAAGAAACCTCTTGCTGCCGGAGAGGAATTTTTCTCAACTGTTTCCCACATTCAAAAAGTCAATTAAAAAAAAAGTCAGTTTCGAGACGTAGAGAAAGTTGGGCCAGGAAATTGAGTCTGCAGCTGACGGGGCATTGGTTTTTCCCCGTTCTGCTCTTGTGAGCCATGGCCCCCGACACCCCCCAGCCAGCGGCTCCCAGGGGGGCTGCTGCAGGACCAGGGAGCTGGTGCAATGGAAGAGACACCAGCTCTGGCTGTCTGAGGGAGACCCGTGGTGTCGGACGTTGGGCTGGGGTCAGGGCGGATGCTGTGTCTCTCCCTCCCTCCCAGAGAGAGCCGTTGGAGGTAACTGAAAGAGCAGTGTTCCTGAGGGGCCGGGTTTGCCCAGGCTTCGGCACCCGCACCACTTCCCTGTCCTGGTGCTCGGTAGGCACCGCAGGCCTGATTCATCAGCCTGCCTGTGACGAGGCCCCGGCTGCATGTGACTGAGGACTCAGCACACAGGAAACCCTCCGGAGATGCCCGTGCTGGGCCTTACCGCCTCTGCTCCCAGAAGCCTGGCTCAAGCTCGGCTTCCCCCCGGCGCTCGGAGAGTCAGATCTTGCTGGGAAATGGCACGTGTGCTGGGCCCAGAGCTAGCCTGCTTCCACCGCCCCCTCTTTTCCCTGTAACAGCCTTTGAGATTTCTGCTGCTAACCTCTCTCCTTTCTGCTTTTTTACTTTTGCTTTCTTGATGCAGTGATGGCCACTGGTAAGCGAGGGGACTGTCAGAGAACACCGCAATATCCCCTCCAGCCAGTCTCTGTTTTACCAAGAAACATCCCTCTTGGCAAGAACAGTGGGTGGGGAAATGGGCAGTCAACTCAGCTTCTGTTTGCCTGCAAAAATGCCCGTCATAATTGTACGGCTCTTTGAAGATTGGAGCCGTTACATCAGAGCCCCTGTGAGTGGTGCCTTCCTGGTACACACTGCTAGAGGCTGGAAACGTAACAGCTACTCCCACGTGAAGCCTCAGTCCCAGGCACCGGTAATTTTGTGGTTCCCAGGTCATAGACACTTCCTGGAGCTTTTCTGGGAGGTCATTGTGACATACTGGATTTCGTTAGCTGTTTCTTGGAAATAAGCAGAAGATGTGGAAAGGAGGCTGGGGTGCCTTCCCGTTGCTCCGGCTTTGATTTCAGAGTTTAAAGTCTCTAAGCTCCCCTCAGGGCCTCCAGGGACCCAGGGGGTGGTCTGTGGAAGACCCCAGAAGGGTCTGTAAAGTCTCAGACTCCACCCGGCACCTGCCCCAAGCTTCTGCTAGGGCCTCCCCATGACACAGCCCGTTTTCCTCCCCAGTCAGCCTCTACACGTCCATCTTCGGTGTGCTCCAGCTTCTCTGCCTACTGACAGCCCCTGTCATTGGCTACATCATGGACTGGAGGCTGAAGGAGTGTGAAGATGCCTCCGAGGAGCCTGAGGAGAAAGATGCCAACCAGTGCGTAGACAGGGCCTGTGCCCTGGCTCCTGGCCCCCAGAGTCCGACGTGAGGCGGGGACAGGGTGGGCAGCTTGGGTTTTGAAGTCCGCAGGAGGCGAGAGCGGGTCGTGCCTAGAGCTACTCGTAAGGGCTTTAAGACACGCTCTCTCTCGGGGCTCAGCACACATTTAAGTGTATCGCTTCCTTATGACGATTCTTGGGTACTCGAAAGTTAGGGTATCACTGGGCTGGATGAAAGAAGGGGAGAAGGCGGAGGAAGGTGTGTGTGCGGACACTGGGTGTCCAGCCATTCTGCTGTTGGGACTGCACTCAGACGACCAGCACAGTGGGTGAGCGATGTTGACGTGGTCCTGCTTGCCTGCAAGGCTCACTCCCCTCGGTGGGAGCAATAAGTTGCCACACCTGCAGTATGCGTTGCTAGATCTGTTCATGATTGTCAGGATTCAACAAGGTGCTGGACCCCGCTTTTGTAAGGGTTGGGCTCCAAGATCAGAGGATGAGTTAAATGCCGTCTTCCATGACTCCGCCTTAATATAATAAGCAACGTTTATTGCTGTAGGCCCTGTGCCAAACACTTAACACACAGCATCTCAGTTAAGCCTCACAACACCTCGATGAGGCGCATACTAGGGTTATACCCATTTTACGACTGCGGGAACTGAAGTTAGGACTTTGAGTAGCTTGCCTGAGGTCACATAGTGAGGAAGCAGTGGGCCTGGAACTCCCTGTATGTCTCCAGCACTTGGCATTCATGCTTGGATGTTGTACAGTCGTCCATGGGGTATCTGTGTGGGCAGTGGGCCTGGAATCGGTAATGGTGAATTCACAAGGAAATAATTACAGAGAATGCTCTGTTATCTAGGTCAGGTCCTAGAGCCAAGAGATTGTGCCCATTCCGGTTCCATCTGCTGCATATTTGTTTCTCCTTCACTCCCTCCTGCCCCCAAAGGGGAAATCCACTCCCTCCCTTATTTGACTTATTATCTGACTTATCATTAGCTCCCTGCAGGATTTGGGTGAAGTCGGAGCCAGTTCATTTGGGTGAAATCCTGACTTGGGCACACTCCGCTCTCTGCCTCCCGATCGTTTGTGCTCAGTCTTCACTGAGGCAGTGCTGCGTGTTGATAGCTGTCTTCTCATATCCGACCTCTCCACTGAGGTTCACACTCAGTGCCCAGTCAAGAGTGTGCAATGGGAGTGTCCCTAGTGCTGGTCTAGCCCTGACAGTCCCTCGGACATGCTTGCATTAGTCTCTGAGTCTTGCATTGTCCACAAGCTGTTTCTCCTGAGGCCTGACTCCCTGGGAGAGCCCATCCTCCTCAGGGAGCCCCCAACTCCAGTGTGTGCTCTGTCTCCACAGAGGCGAGGAGAAGAAGAAGAAGCGAGACCGGCAGATCCAGAAAGTCACCAATGCCATGCGGGCCTTCGCCTTCACGAACCTGCTGCTCGTGGGCTTTGGGGTGACCTGCCTCATTCCCAACCTGCCTCTACAGGTGGGTGTGGGGTGAAGGAGAGGCCAGGTGGGGTATGGGACAATGAGACTTAAAGGTACCTGATGTGTCATGGAAGCCATCCACAAAGACAGGGGTGACTTTTCATTCATTTAATCCAACCAAGCAAGCAACCAGCCCACTGTTATTTACCAAAGGTTTCTTACCTGCCAGGCTCTGTGCTTGATGCTGGGAGTGAGCTCTAAATGAAACTGGGATTACCTTTCACAGAAAACTCTTCTCTGTGAAGGGGTATCATTCTTCATGGCCTTTTGGGCATCTTGCATGCCATGAACACCACCATCATACCATTTCCTGGAGCTATATGGGGGAGTTGTATGGCTACTTGCTTTGCATTTGTCCAAAGAGGTCTGGCCAATCTATGGCCTTGGTGGGACCATCTGCTTCTCCGGTACAAGAGTGCCTACAGGGTATCTGTGTTGTAGAGGGTGGGAAAGATGGTGACGATCACTTGGCATCAGGGTTCAAAAGCTTAATTCCTTTACACAAGATTTCTGATGCTTTTGAAACCTGACTTTTGGCAGAGATTGGGAGCAAAGTAGATTTTGTCATCGGCCCAGCTCTACCTTTAGGTCCATTAAAGTGTTCTGGTGCCAATCCCCAAGGTAATGGATACTCAAAACTCATCATTTCTTACTTATTTTACAATGTTTTAGTATTATCTGTGCTCTGGAGATTTTTACTTCTCATATGGTATTGGTGGGCCTACTGCATGATGGCGCATCACCGTGAATCTCTGTCCTCCTCATGAACTTTGAAGGGTCATGAGTGATGGCGTTGCTTCCACATGAATTAGACCAAGTCCAGTTACTATCTTGGGCCAGGTCCAGAAGGAAAGTGAGAGTCTCTTCTTTTTTACAAGTGGCCACACGTTGAAGTACATTGAACACCCAGGTGTGCACCACCCGTGGGTACTATCCCGTGTATGTGCTGACGCTGTCTATGCAGACCAGAGTAAACCGTCGGAGGCTTGTACTAGTTCCTGGTGAGAGTGTCCTTGCATCCATGGTGCCCCCCAGCTTCCCGGTGGCTGCCCTCTCTACAAGACCGGCAGATCCTTGTCTTGACCACCTTGTCTGATCGAGGGGCAGTGCTCAGTAGGGATAGTCATCTGCTTTCTGTTTTACTTAGTTCTCGTTGAAAGAGGAGTTCTGCAGAGGCAATAAGACGAAGGAAGTGGGAAGGGGGAGCCCGCACTGGTATGCGCATGCACAGAGGGGCACAGCCCTCTTTCAGCACTGCAGAGAGCAGCCCCTGCCCCCTCCGCCGCCCACATTCCTGGGAACAGGTCCTGGCTGCTGAACAGGACGGCAGGGCTGTGTGCAAAGGGCAAACAAAGGGTCCTAGTGGCGAGATGGTCGGCTCTCGTGCTTCTCAGGAATCATTTACAGGTGCTTCTTAGAGCTTGCTCAGCCTACCAGCGGTGGCCTTTTTGAGAAGCTGAGCTTAACTTGGGAGGGGAGAAGGAAAACTAGCTGCCTATAGGGCCTGGATGACCAGGCACAGAGACCTCTGGGCACAAGTCTCAGATCAGCAAAGGTAGGAGATCAAGTCATGATTAATGACCTATTTAGTGCTGTGTCGATACACACAGAACGACCGAGGCAGGAGGAGCCTTTACTCGATGTTTGCCAATTTCCATGGTGCAAACGCTTCCATCGTGGCTGATTTCAAGCAGCGTGAAAGCCCCGATTGTGGAGTTGGACAGAGATTGGCGGTGACGCGCTGTCATGCAATAGTCCCACCAATGCCACACGAGAAGTAAAAACCTCCAGAGCACAGATACTAGTAAAACAATGCCATAATTCGGGGATGAGTTTTGAGTATCCATTACCTTTTTTGAATATAACTTAATTGTAAGTTTACAAATTTAATTTTTAGTCATGACTGTCTTTAATAGCTGGCTCACGAAATTCCTGAAAATTCAGGAACGGGCCCTGGAGACCTGGTGCGCACCCACGCCAGGTTGCCAGCACTCCCATTGCTCAGGACCTCCGAGGACCCTCACGCTCTGCTCTCCCTCTCTCAGATCCTGTCCTTCATCCTGCACACGGTTGTGCGAGGATTCATCCACTCTGCTGTCGGGGGTCTGTACGCAGCTGTGTAAGTGCCCGTTGCTGTGGGTGGCCTGGCGCCTGTGGTAAGGGAATGGCCTGGGGGAGGCTCGTGGTGGGACTGAGGTTCCAGAGAGGGCCAGCCGGCCATCTGGGCTCATCTTGTATCGGGGACGGGTACGAGGACTCCTGTTGGCTGTGTCAAGGGACGGTCATGGCTGGCGAGAAGTGGGTCGGCGGGCAGACGGCTGGGTGCCCACAGGCCTTGGCATCTAACACGAAGTCAGCTCCCCAGCCAGGGGCCATGCTCCTGTGTAGCTCGCTGTTGCCTCGGGGCTACCGCTCAGCCGCGTCCTGGGACCGCCCCTGGCTGCCCACGGGAGGGGCAGGGATGGGCTTGGCTGCCCCGGAGCTGAGTGTCGATGTTCCGATGACCCCCAGCAGGGGCAATGACATGGGTAACTGAGCCCACAATGTGTCAGACTGTTCTCACCCTGAGTCTGAAAGGGCCTGGTTCCGCCTATCGCCTTCTCATTTGGCCAAGGCTAAGATGAAACCTGCCTCCTTTTCCAAGAGGCCACACGTGCAGAAGGAACCACCACAGCTGCTCTTCCCCCTTGGGCTGGGGCTTGGCTCAAAAATGGAACTCATGGGGTAGCGCCCGGCTGGCTCAGTCGGTAGAGCGTGCAACTCTTGATCTCAGGGTTGAGTTTGAGCCCCACATTGGGTGCAGAGATTACTTTAAAATCTTAAAAAAAATGGAACTCAGACACCATCTGCTGTGTCTCTGACCAAAGACTGGTTCGTTCGTTCCTCGCTGGGAGCCCCTTCCCGCCTCTGGGGCCGCAAAGCCGCAAAGCCTGACATTCGCTGAGGTTTTGTCAGAATTCTGTCCCCCCTTCCAGCAGCATCCCACGGGGGTCATCCCAGGTCTGCATGTCGTCCCCCACTGCACCCAGTGCCAGGAGGAAGTTGCTGCTGCCTTGGCAGAGTCAGAGAGGCCACTGAGAGCGTGATGCTGAGTTTCCGCGATTACACAATGCTCCTCTCGACGAGGGCGTGGCCGAGCCAGGGCCCGCCTCCAGCCTGCTCCCCGGGCCCGGTTCCCAGACTCCCGCCGCCACCACTCCTTCCACTCAGCCCGGCCAGACACCCATGGACCTGGGGCACACCCGGGTTGGGTGGGGTCCTCCAGAATCGGGGGTCTCACACTGGTCTGAAAGAGCAATTCACAGTCACAGAACTGCTTAGCAGAAATGAATCCAAGGCAGGCCCCCCACTGTTCTCTCAGGCAGCCCCTGCCTCTGCTCTGGCGCCAGACGTGCAGCCTGGAGGCCCCAGCACCCCTGGGGCCAGGCCGAGGCGCATTTGGAAAGCCCGCAAGTGGCACCTGTGGTGACAGGTCCCCTATCGTCCCGGCAGGTACCCCTCCACCCAGTTTGGCAGCCTCACAGGACTGCAGTCACTGGTCAGTGCGCTCTTCGCCCTCCTGCAGCAGCCCCTGTTTCTGGCCATGATGGGTCCCCTCCAAGGAGACCCCCTCTGGGTAAGAAGGGTCTGGGGCTGTGGGCTATGGGCATCCGCCCCACTCTGCGGCCTCCGAGCTGGGAGGCATCCCTCAGGAGCTTCCAGAGCCCCAACGGCGGGCAAGTTGGGACTTCAGTTAGGATCGATTCAGGGTCCCCTGGTGACTGGTGGCTGGGCAGGAGGAGAAAAGTATCCCTTCTGGACCTGATTTTGGGGTGGCCCTCCCACCAGGGGTTGGGATTCCTAACCAGGCACGGTGAGCTTTCCCCAGTCCCGGTCCCATCCCTGGATGTTCACGTCAGTAGGTCAGAGGTGGGGGCCTGGGCCCTGAGGGCTTCCTAGCGGCCATGGACACTGGGAAACTCTGACGCTGGAATGTGGAACGACGGGCCCTTAGATGGCTTGAATCTTCCAGTTTCAGTTTTTCCTTTCTTCTCCTGTGACCTCGCCTTTTCCAGACATGAGTGTGGGGAAGGGTCTTGAGCCGGGCTCTGCGAAAGACCACAGCTCCTGCCCCGTCCCCTGCCTCACGTGATGGCAACTCTCATTTCGGCTTCTCCAGGTGAATGTGGGGCTGCTCGGCCTGAGCATGCTGGGGTTCTGCCTCCCCCTCTACCTCATCTGCTACCGGCGCCAGCTGGAGAGGCAGCTACAGCAGAAGAGGGAGGACGACAAGCTTTTCCTCAAGCTGAACGGCTCCTCCAACCGGGAGGCTTTCGTGTAGCGCCCACCACCTCGGAACTGTGGCCTCCTGCCCTTGCTTCAGTGACTCACCAGTGTCCTTCTCCCCATCCCAGAGGACCTCCGTGCACCCTCAGGATCCTCTCCTTCACATTTTGGAGCCCACGCTCCCTCCCAGGGCCCTGGTCCTGCCTCGGACCTGTGCAGTGGAAGGACGGGAGAGGGCCCGGATGTGCGATTTTCCTACTGCTGGAAGCAAGGGCTGCCGTGGGCTTTGCTCTGCCACCCTCGAGGGGCCCTGGGGCCTTGAGGCTCCGTGGTGCCTGCAGGGGCAGCAAGGAGGACCCCCCAGCAGGCAGGCTCTCTCCCTTAAGTGTCTGGATTCTGCCTCTTGCCAAAGCAGTGGGGTCTGCCATCTACTGCCTGCCACCTGCCTCTCGGCTGCATGCCCACTGGCCACACCTGCCCAAGGACAAAGTCTTGCGCTGTCTGCTCCCCCTCGCCTGGCCCCTCGACCTCCTCCCTTGGCCAGTCTGAGGCTGCCTGAGGAAGGAAGGACCCGCTTCCTGTTGTTGGTGCTAACTCCTTTGTAATTCCAGCCCCCTGTGGCCTGTCCATGACCTGGCCTCCTGTTACAGGCCTGTGGAGAAGCCCCCCCTGGCTTAAAGCCTGGGGAGGGGATGGAGGACTGGATAGCCAGGCACCGCTCAGGGGCCAAGGACAAGGCTGATTAGCAGTCCCTCACCTCCTCCCTCAGGGCGAGGAGCAAGTGTCCACTGCCCCCTTCCATCCAGTCTGTGACCTGAAGGGAATTAAAACAGCACCAACAGGGCACCCGCTACACACAGCTGTTCGTATGGGGGTGGAAGTCAGGCTGTTGCCGAGAGACGGAGGGCCGGGCCTGACTGGGGAGATGGATGGTGAGGGGCCTCGGGGTGCGTGCACGTGTGGGATGTGTGAGAGATGTGTGTGGGGTGTCTGCCCTTATCCTCCCGGAGGCGGCCTCGCTCTGGACCTGGAGCTTGTCTGAGGCTGCGGGGTTGTAGCGCCCCCTGCCGGCAGGCTCCTCCAGGGCCCTGGAGCTGTTTACGTGAGAGAGGCCCCTGTCCTCTGCCAGGCTGGCCTGGCTGTCCAGCCACCCGCCGCCTGACTGCCCCCAGAAATGTGTCTGAGACTTCCTGGGAGTGCACAGCAGGGCGGGTTGATTTTTAGGTCTATACTTTTGGGTCTTTTAAGTTTTACCAGACTCCTTTTTATAAAGCAATAAATCCATTTTCCTCCTGGGAAGGGATGCCCCTGCTAGCATTTCAGTTAATGGCTACACGTGCCTGTTTTGAGCTTGAGAAGAAAAGGCAAGACAAGATTTTTCTGCCACTGACCAGCCCCCGTCATACCCAGTCGCTCCCCGTCTCTCTGGGTGATTGCCATCTTGGGAGCTGCACTGGGCCAGAAGAAGACCTTACTCCCCGAGCTCGCCCCCAGACAAACTGGGCTTGTGCAGACATTTTAGAAGTGGGGGCCACCCCTCCTCTGCTGTCTATCCCAGCCAAACAGCGAATCCTGACCCTTTCCATCCCCTACTCAGATTTCCTACTCCTGGCTCAACTGCCCTGAGGGTTCCTCCTGAGCTCAGGACAAAGGGTGACACCAAGAGAGTCTTGGGCTCCAAGAGACAGAGGCAGAATGCGGTGAGGGGAACTGGTGGAGAACAGGAAGGGACAGACCCAGGCCCAAATTTGAGCTCTGCATGAACAGTTGAGTACCTTGAACACACCTCATTTCCCCAGGCTTCAGTCCAGTCCACTCAAACATTAAAAAGCAAAAAACGTTTGTTTAAAACAAACATTTTTAAAAAGGAGAGAGAACCTAGATCAACATTTCCCAAACCATTCCTCAGAGCACTAGTTCCTATAAGATGTTAATTATTCTCACTTAAAAACAAAAACTTTCGCGGTCAGGGGCGCCTGGCTGGCTCAGTCAGTACAGCATGTGACTCTTGATCTTGAGGTTGTGAGTTCGAGCCCCACGTTGGGCATAGGACTTACTTTAGAGAAAAGAAAGAAAATGGTCAAATCTGGGAAACGCGGGGTTAAAGTCAAGCGTGTTTTCTTACAGCAGCAGGCACTTGCTGCACCCGGCCACCCGGCGGCGTGTTCCCGGTGCGGGGGGGACCGGAGGGCCCCAAGAGCAGGGGCGGTGTGCTGCAGAGGGAGCACGGGTTTTAGCGGCCGCAGCCGGCCTCCACGCGAGGCCCAGTGGCCGCCTGCGGCAGGAACACCTCTGGCGCTTGTTAGAAATGTGTCCGCCAGCTGTTACCTCTGGCCTAGTCTTCATTTGGCTAAGCCCCGCCTGGCCATCCTGTGCCCCCAAACGTTGGAGACCTCATTCTGCTCTGACCGTAGGGAGTTGATGGGTTACATATTTTCCTGTTATCATCCTTGCATCATGATAACAACCGAGGAGTTAGACACCATCCCTATTTTATAGCTGGAAAACTCGAGGCCCAGAGGGTACAGTCACTTGCTCAAGATTAGAGCTGGTGGTACTCAGAGGCTTCGGAAGTCATCAGAGAATCCAAAGCCCTCCAGACCAGGACATTCCATTCAGAGCTCCAGCCCCAGGGCCCACCTGGCCCTTGGGAGCAGGGCCAGCAACAGCCCCAGGGAAGGGAAGCGAAAAGCCAGGCATGGTCTCCATTTCCTGGAGCCAAGAGCTTCCTTGGAGCAGGGGTTGAGCTCTACTTCATAGAGTCGTGTTGGCTGATGGGTGCTTGGGGGAGCAAATCTCCCCCAACCCTGAGAGGAGTGCCCTGGGAGGGGACGGGACCACGGGCTGGTCAAAGGCGGTGGGCATCAAGGGGCCACAGACCTTTGTCTCCACTTCCCCTCCCCGCTTTCTTCAGGCTCCCGGTGGGAAGGAACAGGAAGTGATACCTGGAGTGAGGTCAGAGTGAGGAAGGGGGCTGGGCCACCCTAGGGAGCATTGTCAGGAGTCCCCTCCTCTCTAGTCTCCCTGGACTCTTGTCTAGGAGTCTAGTCATTCCTTTGTGGTTGGCTCTCTCCAAACCCTCCTGGGGGAAGGTTCCAACCCTCCTAAAGGCCACAGGTATGGTTGCAGGCCCCTGGGGGTCCCCTTCTGTTTTGTTCTTTCTTCTTTCCCGCTTGTATCCGGAATTGGCCTGGTCAAAAGAACGTCTGCTCCAGCCTTCCTCGTCATGGCCCTGGGCTATGTAGTCTGAGGGGACATCTTACTGCCCTGGGCCCCAAGGACCCTGAAATGGGGACACACCTGGTACTGGGGGTACATAGGCAGGACTGCCCCAGGCAGCAGCATGACCACATTCAGCCCAGTGGAATTTCTGATGCACTTGCATGTCAGCCTATGTGAGTTTGAGTGACTACGTAGGGGGGTCGGGGAGGGGGGCGTGCAGACAAGCAGTTGGCACTTTGTGGTGAGGGGCTCCTGTCCGAGAACTCTGAGAAGTCCTCTCCATGAGATTGGGCTTCGGGGGAGCTCCCCTCCCTCTGAAGGAGAATACAGTGGCTTCTCATGGGCTCTTGGGGTGGTGAGGAGCCTCATCTGTACCAATTACCAGGGGCCCAACTCAAGGGACATATACATGGTGGGATTATGAGGACTTGGAGCCCGAGACCCCAAAAGTGAAGGAGTTGGTTTTCCATAGGCGGCAGCACCCCACCGCCAGGGTTGGGGGTAGGTCAGGGAGAATAGGTGGGCTCTGTGAGCCTGTTTCCACCCGTGCCCTAACTTCCCCAAGCCCTGGGGTGAGGATGTGGTGCCAGGAAGGAGGTGTGGCATCGTCCCCAGGGGTGGCTGTCCACGGGGCAAAGCTCTGTCTGTCCGCCCGGAGCCACTGCCTGTGCCCCTGGGTCTCTGCAGGCCGCGTGCCCACCTTTGAGTTAGTCATTCTCAGCCTCCCGGGTGGATCTGAGAGCAGCCGGGGCCCCTGGCAGCTCCCAGCCCCATCCCAGAATGAGGCTCCATCTCCCTGTGCCAAGGAGGAGCAGAGGCTAGAGGCCCCACCACAAGTACTATCTCGGTGACATTAGGCATGTCCTGAGCCTCAGTTTCCTTATCTGTAAAATGGAGGTAATGCCCTCACTGTGAGACAGGTGAACATGGACACACAGCCCTTGCACAGTGGTCTACTTGGTACTTTATAGGTACTTAACAAGTGAGAGCATTATGTTTCTGATTCTGGAGGCGTGCGGAGAGCCCAGGGAGCGAAGACCACCCCCTCCCCTAAGCCCATCCTTACCATCAGACATCTGCTTTAGGCACGGGGGACCAGAAAAGACTTGTGGCCAGGTGGAGGAAGGGAGGTCTGCTGCTCACCCCGCTCCCTCTCAGAAACGCTCTCTATGCAAAAGCCTTAAGAAGCGGTCCCGTTGTCCGTTTTTCTTTTATGCCTCACATTTTAGTTAAGAGATCTGGCCCCAAAGCTTCTCGAGATAATTTCTAAATGTTGAGGCACCTGCCGGTTTATGCCACGCGGGGTGACTCCGATCACGGCATGTGGGCAGCACGTCCGTGCCACCTCCTGAGCCCCTGCTCGGCTGTGCCCCGGTGTGCGCGCGTGCGTTCGGATGTGTTCGGGGCCCGTCCGGTGTGATCGCGTTTGGAGGGGTGTGTGGGGGCTCGTCTGCGCGCCACCTCTCCGGCTGGCCAGGGAAGAGGGAGGGGGTCTTGCCTCACTGAGTCCCTTCCCATGGCTGGGAGGGCCTGGGTCCTGAGTGGTGCCTGGAGGATTCATCGGTTCCCCGAGTTAACCAGGGGCGATAGCACCGTAACTCAGTAACAGACCCCGACGTCCTGCTCCACGCTGTCTCTGGCACCTGGCTTACTTCCTGGCACACAGTAAGCACTCAATAAATGTATGCTGAGAATGACTAAGAACTGCTTCCTCCTCCGCTTCTGTGTCTCTTGCTAAGTCACACATCTCTCTGCCCCTTGCCTTTTGCTCAGATTCCCTGTCACTTGATCGAAACAAGCTCCCTGACCCCCACCCCTCCCCTCTGCTGCACTTGCCATCTGCCAGCTTTGCTGGTTTAGCCTTCCGCTCTGCCATTTCAAGAGGTGGGGGAGGGACAGAGTAAGGGGCCTCTTGGGTGGGAAGACCAAGGCTCCTGGTGAATTGTGGTTCTAAAGGGAGCTCACTCTCGTCCCTTTTCTTTTGTCCTAAGGTGGTGGTCATGGACATGACTGCTCCTCCTAGAGATTTCCCACCAAGCGGGCCATCCTCCTGCCGGGGCCCTGGGCAGTGGCAGCAAGAGATAGAGAGCGAGCCACTGGGTGTCCCCAGAGAATCCCCAAGGAGGTCCCCACCCCAGGGAGGGAAGGGGCAGCCTGGCTTCTGACCCTGCTAGGGTGGAGGGGGCTTGATGCCCAGGGGAGGGATGTAGATGGCCTGCCACATCCCTTTGTTGCTACCTTTCCTTTTCCCGTGTTTGACTGAGACAGCTCAGAGAAATATTTCTCTAATATGAGGAGAGCCACAGCATAAGGTCTCTGGTGATGCAGGGGTTGTTAGATTTTGACCTCCGTGCCAGGGACACAGGAGGACCTGGGGGGACGGCCATAGCCTCCATCTAAGGGGCAGTCCTGACACCATCATGGCCATGTGGAAATGAGCCTAGTCTTGTCAGATCTTCCGAGTTTTTTCAAGAGAAGCTGAAAATCCAGGGCGCCTGGGTGGCTCAGTCGGTTTAGGCATCTGCCTTCAGCTCGGGTCATGATCTCGGGGTCCTGGGAACAAGTCCAGGGTCGGGCTCCCTGCTCAGGGGGGAGTCTGCTTCTCCCTCTCCCTCTGCCCCTCGCCCCCCAACTCGTGCACATGCTCTCTCTCTCAAATAAAATCTTTTAAAAATTTTAAGAAAAAGAAAAGCTGAAAATCCTAAATTTTATTATTATTTTTTTAAATCCCCATTTTCAGGGGCACCTGGGTGGCTCAGTCGGTTAGGTGTCCGACTCTTGATTTCAGCTCAGGTCGTGATCTCTGGGTTGTGAGATCAAGCCCCAAGTTGGGCCCCTGCACTGACCACGGAGCCTGCTTGGGATTGTCTCTCTCCCTCTCCCTTTGCCCCCCAAACCCAAATCCCCAGTTTCAAATGTTGGCTCAAAAATAATTTTTTTCTTTTAATTATCATGGCTGCTCAAATAGCTTTCAAGCATATGCAGGCCAAACACTGTCAGAGGTAGGGAGATAGAAGAGGAGTAAGTAAAGGGCCTCCTTGCCTCTTTTGAGTGCCCAAAGCAACTGCTTGTCTATT